TCAAACTAATATCATAGCTGAGGTGAGGCTACTAGATTATTCATGTTATGATTAGATGTGGAAAGAGCATCTTAGCAAACATGATGGTGTGAAAGCCAGTATGAATAAGGACTTGAATGCAGTTTACATGAGTCCAACCTGACTACTGTTGGGATGACCTAGAGACATTCTCCTTCCTTTCTTGGTTTAATGGGGTCAGGGGTTTCTAATTTCCCATTAAAATTTCTCTCCTGGGGTGCCTGGGTGGCTCAGTGGGTTAAAGCCTCTGCCTTCCACTCAGGTCATGATCCCAGCATCCTGGGATCGAGCCCCACATTGGGTTCTCTGCTCAGCAGGGAGTCTGCTTCCCTCCCTCTCTCTCTGCCTGCCTCTCTGCCTACCTGTGATCTCTGTCTGTCAAATAAATAAATAAAATCTTAAAAAAAAAAACCTTTAAAAAAAAATTTATCTCCTTTCTCCACTGTTCACCAAGTTCTCCCAATTCAAGCTGATGGCTCTGTAGCTCAGGACTTGCAACTATTCTAGATCTTAAGAGACAGAACTGGTCTAAGACTTTGGACGACAACTCTGACTCCGACCCTGTCATAAAGTACAGAAGTACTTCATCAAAGTGAATTAGATGCCTGATTACCAGATTTGGGCAGCGAAAGATGTAAGGAGTGAGAATGTTCTAAATCCAATGGCAAATCTATCAAAACTAATTTCGCCTTCAGAAATATTTGCTAGAGGGGCATCTGGGTGGCTCAGCGTTAAGGGTCTGCCTTGGGCCCAGGTCATGATCCCAGGGTCCTGGAATGAAGCCCGGTATCGGGCTCCCTGCTCCGCGGAAAGCCTGCTTCTCCCTCTCCCACTCCCCTGTGCTTCTGTTCCCTCTCTCACTGTATCTCTCTCTCACTGTATCTGTCAAATAAACAAATAAAATATTTTTATTTTTATTTTAAGATTTTATTTATTTATTTGACAGATAGAGATCGCAGGTAGGCAGAGAGGCAGGCAGAGAGAGGGGAGGAAGCAGGCTCCCTGCTGAGCAGAGAGCCCGATGCGGGGCTCAATCCCAGGACCCTGAGATCATAACCTGAGCCGAAGGCAGAGGCTTTAACCCACTGAGCCACCCAGGCCCCCCACAAATAAAATATTTTTAAAAAGAGAAATACTTGCTAGAACATGTTCTAAGGGTGAAAATCGACACATAATCATAATCAAATAAAACTTTGTTTACAGTTTCAGCACAAATGCACTCATTGCTATGTCCCACCACCACCAATTCTCCATTATTATTAAGGAGTGCTCCCAAGGTGGAGCAGAGATCATTTTTGGTCTAAAATTTTTTCTTGTCCATGACTTGAACTGCTCTGGAAATTTTCCTTTCAGAGCTTGTGTTTGTTTAGCAGTTTCTTTACAATATCCATGTGACCAAAATTATTTTAACAGCCTTAATTGTATTACAATGACAAAGATTATCTTGTGACAATGCATTCCTCTGTTCTGTATGAGTTTATTTAATTCCTTTTCAGTGGTTGATATTTGAACCTCTTTCATTTAGAGTAGATCCAGCAACACAATTCATTAAGTGCCTAAACAGGTCCAGGAGGGGTTAAAGAACACACCACCAAGTATAAAAACTGCCACTCTATTGCATAATCTATACAACCTTGTAGTTGAATCTGGGTTCTTGTGAAATTTTAATCAAGTAACTTGGGAATGTGATATGATGACTGGGAAGCAATATAAAGGAATTCTACAAACTACTAAATCTGCTTTATATTTTGTTCCATAATCCTATTGTAATTTTCAATGAGAGGAAATTTACAAATTTTACACGCTTAAAGCTTTACTTTTTATTGTGCACAAAGTTTTATGAAGGTGTATATTTGAGGAATGGGTGGTTTTTGAAATACAACATGAGATTCTTTCAAAGATTGAATAGAAGGAGAAGTAAAGAGACATTAATGACTACAGAGGGAATATCCGTGGAAATGGGGGTAGCATGTAATTTACTGATCGGATAGTTCTTTTTAGTAACTGAATGTCAGGCCGGTCTTATATTTTGTGATTAGAGAAGAGCACACATGTTTACTAATGAATTTGTGTTTTTAGTCACTGAAATTTTAAGGATAACATGAAATCTAGGTCTCCATGCTGTTGTAAAGCATGGCCATGAAAACTACCCATCTAAACAGTTTTTCAAAAAATGTATTTCTGTAAAAGGAAATGAGAGGAACACTGAATTTTCAAATTCCATTGTGATATAATCAATGATTGATGCAAGGCCTGATGGGGTGAGGCCTGAGCCTAAAGAATCCATCTAGGAGAATTCAGTCTGAGTCAAGTCACACTTGGGGACCCCCCTCTTTACAGGGTCTTACTAAGCCAGGGGAAATCTGATTAACATAAACAACAAAGCACTTGTGGAGGGGGGGTGGGGAAGGCACAAAAGGGCAGAGAAGTGTTGAGGGAAAGGGGAAGGAAGAGGCCTTGCCAATTCTTGACTTGTTAATTAGGGTCAGAACAGCACTGGGGATTTCCTATACCCTAAGTTTGTTGAATGATTACATAGGTCTGGGGAAAAGGGATATATCAGAGTGATGCACCCAACTTTTTAGTATTGGGGTTCTGCCTGGTAAATTGCAATTTCCTCTCCTCACATTTTGTATTGACTAATGGCTGGAGGGCGTGTGTGTGTGTGTGGGGGGGTGGTCTCCATTCAGGTGTTTGCTCCAATTCAAAAGCTTTGGCCAAAGCCTTGGCCTGTTGGGCAATTTGACTGAATCTTCCTCTCAAATGAATTAGGCTCTTACGAGTTATGAAGGGACTTCCCTTGGGACTTGTTGCAACAGCATATAGTGGCAATGGAGATTTGAGAGTAGTTTCCTGTTCTGCTTTGCCATCTTGGGATGGCTCTGAAAAGCTCTCTTACCTCTGACAGGAAGAAAATGTTCACAAGGTTGATTCATTACTGCACAGAATGCAGTGAAGATAATTGGGCAACCTGAATCCGATGTTCAGATGGAAAGATAGGGAGACTCTGATGACACAAGTTTAAATTCTAGGTCTGCAGGTAAAGCTTTACAAAGAGCCCCACCCCAGAGATACCTGCACTGGGACTCCTTCACTGAGAGTTTCTTCCCCATCTCCAGGACTCCCAAGTCCAGATGAATGGCCCAGCTTCCTGGGGAAAAGGCTCTATAAATTGTATAGATAGATACATCATATATAGATAGATGTAACTTGTATATAGTGTGTGTGTGTGTGTGTGTACACTTGTATATATACATGGATTATATATACTTGTGTATATATATACTTATAACCTGTATATATACACCAGTTATATATATATATGAAATACACAAGAGTTTTTATGATTTGTAACTATCTGTGTAGATAAAGTAACAAAACTAAAACCATATCTAATAGCTTTTTTATTTTAAATATTTTATTTATTTATTTGACAGAGAGAAAGATAGTGGGAGCAGGAACACAAGCAGGGGGAATGGGAGAGGGAGAAGCAGGCTTCCTGCCTAGCAGGGAGTCAGATTCCGGGCTCAATCCCAGGACACTTAGATCATGACCTGAGCCGAAGGCAGACGCTTAGCGACTGAGCCACCCAGGCACCCCAAATCTAATGGCTTAAAAACGTTGCCCAGAGATTGCTGGCATCAGTATTCCACACAAGATTAAAATTATTTCCCAAGATGCATACCCTGCACTCCAATTGATATTTTAATAACTTGATTAAAAATTTCTCAGAAGTCTATTAGAGTCAGGAAACGGTCTGCGGCGTAGGTGAGGATTTTCAGTTTTTGCAACGGAAACTTTTGGCCCCATGAACATAATAGAAGAAACTCAATTAAATGTGTTTTTCCTCCATCCTCGCCTAATCCAAAAGTAAAAAAGTAAAAGGGTTTTGGAAGAGTGGTGTTTAGCTGTGCTTCTTTCCTTTTTCCTTTAGAACAGCGAGGTGGATTCATAGGATCCAATTTTTAAATAGCCTTTTATCTCCTACTCCGAATAAACCCGGCCACCCAGCACAATCAGAAAGTTGGTTTTATGTTTTGTTTTGTTTCGAATTTTCAGCCTCTAAAGGTTGGGGGAGGGGAGACAAAAATAGGGAGGGGAAAGGACGAAGAAGGTACTTTAATTAAAAACAACCAATAACTCGAGGTTTTTAGATATGGTCTGTCATTTCCTAATTAAGAAATGAGCTTGACAGTCCCTGGGCCAACTCAAGCTGAAGACTCCTATGAAACCCTAAAGGACTGGTGGTTGTCCAAGAGACGAAACTCCATTCCCCTGCGAGACCCCAAGCCAGTCCGCAAGGGCCGGCCGTACCCAACTCTGGGGTCCTTCCCGTACGGCAGTCATCTCGGCTCCCTCAGGTCCGTCTCCTCCTGAGCTCAGCTCGGCGCAGGGCCGGCCGCCTCGGGCTCGCCGCCACTAGGTCGGCGCAAATACCTTTCCCTCCCCGGGGCCCCAGGCGCGGACACCTCCCTGCCTCCCTCCCTGCTGGCGGGGCCCTTTCCCGGCTGGGAAACAGCAGCCGCGGCCGCGGCGGCAGGAAGCGAAGCCCTTGTTGATGCTGTTCCTTGGCGCGTCTCCCCGCCCTCCGGCGGCCGCCCTAGCTCTTCCAGGCTTTGGGGCGCCCCCCTCCGCGCCTGCGCAGTGCCCCGCGGGGGGCGGGGCTCAGATTCCTGTCAGCGGCAGCGGCGGTGGCGGCGACCGTCAGTTTTCGCTGAGGAGAAGCACGAAACGGACCCGTTGGCTCTCCCCCCTCCCTTTCCCCGCCCTGAACCCCCCTCCTAGCTCGCCGGGAATTAGTCCCCGTGGAGTTTCCCCTCCGCCTCGCTGCCGTTTCCTCGGTCCTCGGCCCGGTGGAAGTCACTGCCCTCGAGGAGGAGGCAGCAGCAGCCGCCCTCGCCTCGCCGCCCCCGGTTCGGTGCCCGCGGTCCCGGAGAGGAGGTGCCGCCGCCACCGCCGCTCCCCCCCTCCCGCTGCCCTCGGGCCGGGCTGGGTCGAGCTGCGATGCCCTCGGACTTCATCTCATTGCTCAGCGCGGACCTAGACCTGGAATCGCCCAAGTCCCTGTACTCGCGAGGTGAGTCAGGCTGGGGGCTGGGGCGTGGGGGCGGGGAGGCCCGGCCCGGGGGACCCAGAGGGGTCCCCGTCGGGGATGGGGGCAAGCCCGGGCCGGTCGGGCCTGTTTTGAGGGGGGTGGGGAGAGGCTGATGGTGTCGGGTGATGGTGGAAGGGACAGGGGAGGAGTGGCGGCCCCTCCCCCGCGGAGCCGCCGGCCGCACAGAGCCCAATTGCCGTCGGCCCCGGGTCTCTGCGGCACCAGTCGCTCTGAGAGTCCCTCGGCGTGTCCGGCCCCGCCACACTCCTCGAGCGGCTGGTCCCGGCCTCCCCCGCTCAGGGATCCCCCCTCCCCCAGACTGGGCCCGGTGCTGGGGCCGCTGCGATCGGTGCGCCGCGGCCCCCCTACCAGGGCCATCCTCCCCAGCAAAGTTGCCCCCAAACGGGCGGCTTGGCTCGGAGCCGGTTCTGGGTGCAGGGGCACCATTTTTCTCCCCCCTGCAGGTTGTTTGTGCGCCGTCGTTCTACCCTCCGCTCCCTCCGGCCTAGTCCACTCCCTCCCCTTGTTGGGACGGCCCCCCTCGACCAGGCGTTCTTCCTTTCCTCGTCATCTTATTGCTGGAATGGGCCCGAATTTTCTGTTTTTCTCTCTTTCCACCTCTGTGGCATTCTAGTGACTTACATCTTCCTCTCTTTTTACAAAGATAGGGGTGCTCTCTCTGGATTAGTTTTATTCCTCTCCTGTCCCAGGGGTACCAGCTCAGGCACTGACGCTGTCCTTTGAGAATTTTCTCTTTCGTTGCCGTTCCAGGACTCCTTGCAGGGAGGGGGCATTGGACAGAGATTCTCGTTTTTAAACTCTTTTGGCCAAGGCCTAAAGGGGATTCCCGGGATCTACGATATGAACACTTGAGTTGATCTCTACCGGGTTTAAATTCCTATACTGGGCTCCACAAGAATGTGTTAGAACAGGTTCCCTGTGCAAGGGGCATCAAACCAGAACGCTCCCACTACACTCTTCACCACTTTTTAAACCCCTGGGAGGGGCAAAAGACGTAAATGGGTTATTAGCTATTCATTTCACCACATTAAAAGAAATTATGTGCCGTTGTGAACCTCCTTACTGAGAAATCCAGCGTTTCTTCAGTTTTGGTGTGATGTATCCATCCGCTGATCCTACCCCCTCTAGAAAGGGGGACCTCAGCTTCACATTAGTAAATGTTAATTGTTTAAGCGAAATCAGAGTGAGATGGTTTACTCTGGAAGGTACTGGACTTAACAGACTGACGATTGGGTTTGTACAGAGAGTCCTACTTAGTTAACTGTAGCCATTGTCTGTTGCTCTGATGACTTTAAGCCGGCAGTCACCATCCTGTAGGATGTTTTTCAGGCATCATACCTGAAGTAGTTGGAGATAATGTAGTTTTGAGTGTCAGAAGAAAAAGATGATATCAAGAGATGATTCTTAGAAGAGGGCTAATGTGGTACAATTGGGTGCTAAAAATAGACAAGACATTAACACCATTTGTGCAGTAATCATCAGATAATTTTCCATGAAACAAACGCTTTATGAAAATCGAAGTTTACCATAGAGACCAGTGTAGAGGCAATTCCAGCTTCTTTTGCAGAGTATAGTCACAGATATGGGCTTTAGCTCTTAAAAATACATGGCAGTTATGTAAGAGATTTATGCCACCATTGCCTTTTTTTCTTTCTTAAGTCATTCAGCATAAAAAGTACTTAATGCTTTTTGTGTTTTTCAGATTCTCTGAAGTTACACCCATCACAGAATTTTCATAGAGCTGGACTATTGGAAGGTCAGCAAAGTGCCATTTTAAAGCATATTGTGTGAGTATGCAAAGGCTTTCTCTGAAATGGAGTTTAAATGAGAAAGTGTGAAACTTTGCAAACTCATACAATGTAGTTTTCTCCTAAAGAGCCTGATCCTTCTTTTAGAGCAGCTGAATGTTTCAGTGGATTTTGTTGCTGTGTTTGATGTGCTTGTTAGCTTATTGTATCTGCTTTGAGAAGCCTTGAAACCCTCCCCACAAAATCACTAAAAATTATGTGTTGGGTGTTCTACTTTGGAATTCCAGATCTTAATTCTATGTTCTTATACATATACTGAATATGAAAAGGCTCAATCATTATGATCATAAGTATAACTAAAAGAGTGACACCAAACACATATTTTGTTTGAAAATTCAGAATTTAGAACTTTTATATGTTGAGCATTTCGAAACAGAATGTTAATTATTTATTACAAAAGCATTGTATCGTTACTGTTGCATTATTTTTAAGGTTAAGGAAAGCCAAAGAAAGAGATGATTGGAATATGCTTAGAAAAAACAGTTTGAGACAAATTCTGGAAATGTTAAGAGAAGGTGTAGAATTTAAATAGCTGACAATTATTTTAGAAAACTTTACATTAAAAAAAAAGAAACACTTTGTTGTTTTCAGCATTTTAAGGCCAAAAAAAAGACTCTATTTGTGTTTCGTAGGGTTTCTAACATAATTTTTTAAAAAACTTATTTATTTTTAGTAATCTCTACACCCAATGTGGGGCTCAAATTTAAGGGGCCCCCAGATCAAGAATCACATGGTTTTTGACTGAGCCAACCAGGAGCCCCTCTATTTTGTAGTTTTTGAAGTTGTTTTCCATATCCTCTTTGAATTTTGTAATCCTGTAGTTGGACAGCAAGGATATTAATTTCCCCATTATAGAGATGAGTAACCTGAGGCTGGAATTAAGAGACTTGGGGGAAAAGAGTCACACAATAGCAGACATAATGCTTTTTGTGTTTTAGCTGTAGTTCATTACCTAAACCCAAGCTGCCACTGTAAAATAAATATGTAACCGGTAACTTAAACATTTTGTGGTCCATTTTAAAAAGGCCATAAAGGGGCGCCTGGGTGTCTCAGTCAGTTATACATCTGCCTTCCATCTGCCTTTGGCTCCTATCATGATCCCAAGGTCCTGGGTTGGAGGCCTGTGTGGGACTCCCTGCTCAGTGGGGAGCCTGTTTCTCTCTCTCTCTCTGCCCCTCCCCTGTTCTTGCTCTCTCTCTAATAAATAAATAAAATCTTTAAAAAAAAAAAAAAAGGCCATAAATGTTTAAGTTTTTTTGAGTTTAGATGTTTGCCTCCCATATGGTATAGTCTGATATAGTGGTGGGAAGAATGGATTTTGTAATTGAGGTTGAGTTTGAATAGCAATTTAGTTGCTAATAAACTCTGTGGCCTTGGGCAGGTTATTTCACCTCTCTAAACTTTAATATCTTTCTATAAAAATGTATATAATCTCTTAAGTTTACAGAGGTAATGTGTATGAAAATGCCTAGTATAGTGTCTGGCTTAATAAATGTTGAGTTTTCCCTTTAGTATCAGCTAACTTTTTTGACTATAATTTAGAGCATATAGAATGTTCTTTAATTATTAATTATATTTATACTTATCAGAAGCCCACTGATATATATTAGTATAAAAACAAATTATAACTTCTTATTTTTTTATTTTTTTTTTATTTTTAAGATTTTTATTTATTTATTTGACAGAGAGATCACAGGCAGAGAGGCAGGCAGAGAGTGAGGGGGAAGCAGGCTCCCCGCCCAGCAGAGAGCCCGATGTGGGGCTTGATCCCAGGACCTTGAGATCATGACCCGAGCCAAAGGCAGAGGCTTAACCCACTGAGCCACCCAGGTGCCCCCCGATTACAACTTTTTAAAAATCAACTACAATTTGAGGCAAGACATTTTATGTGTTTTTTTTTTTTAAGATTTTATTTATTTATTTGACAGAGAGAGAGAGAGAGATATCACAAGTAGGCAGAGGCAGGCGGGGTGGGGGGGGGGGAAGCAGGCTCCCTGCTGAGCAGAGAGCCCAATGTGGGGATCGGGGCTCGATCCCAGGACCCTGACATCATGACTGGAGCCCAAGGCAGAGACTTAACCCACTGAGCCACCCAGGTGCCCCTGTAAGTGTTTCTTACTGAAGCAGATTTCTGTTTTTTATTCATATTGTCCAGTTTGTGACCATGTTATAGATTCCTATTTGTCACAAACCCATCCGTTTTCTGGGCAACAGACCAGAGAGTATCATAATCATAGAGATTATCAGGCAGAAGCAAGACATGAAAAAAGAAGGTGTTAATTATTCCAGCAAATATTTTTAACAAGTTGATGGAAATGCAGATAGCAATTTAATATGTATATTTATATGTATGTGCTTAAATACTTTTATTAAATTTTTATTTTGGTTGAGAAGATCCTCAGTTTTTTGAAGTGAGACCATCCTTTCACAGATTATCTATACATTGTAAAATGTATAAATATCAAGTATCCTTTTATGGCTTTGATACAGGGAATCATAAGAAAGTTGTTTGCTTATGTAATGAAAGTATTTATAATCTGTGCACCCTACTTCTATTTAGAATTTACAAAAGTAGAGAGAATAAAATAATGAGCCACCATATTCCTATCACCAAGCTTTTAACAATTATCAATGCATGTCTGATCTTGTTTCTTTTATCCTCCCATTTTCCTGAAGCTGTTTTATTTTAAGACAAATATCAGACATCATGTTACTTTATATATACATGCTTTTGTATTATAGTGATCTTTCTTTATTAATTTTTAAAATACCCTACTTTATTCCAGGAAATACATATTCTGATTTATTTCAGTAAAGTCTCACCTCTCCCTGCCCTCTTTTTAAGTTAAAGCACAGCTGGAGGCTACTGCTTCTAATGTATAGTGTACCTTGTAATCTATGTTAAAACTGTAGGTCATGCGTCAGACATGAGTTCAAATTCTTGTTTCAGCATTTGTGCTTGACCTTGACTGAGTCATGTGATCTTTTTGTGTTTCAATTTTCTATCTTTAAATGGGGACAATCATAGTATCTTCATTATGGGCTGCTGTGAAGATTATTTGAGGCAAATTCATGCCTATAGCATTTAACCTAACACATAGTAAGTGCTCAATAAATGTTAGCTTAATTAAAAATTCTGAACAACCACTTACATGGCATTTACTGTATGCCAAAAACTTTATAAATATGAACTCACTGAATTCTCTTAACAACCATGAGATGGTTATTATTATCCCATTTTACAGGTGAGGGTGCTAAGTCATGGGGAGGTTTAGTAACTTACCCAGAGTCACACAGCTGGTAAGTTGTAGCCAAGATTTCCAACACAGGTAGTCTCACTGTAGTCTGTGCTCATTAACTATTGTATTGTATTGACTTCCTGTTATATAATAAGAAGTATTTTCTTTTTAAAGATTTTAGTTATTTATTTGACACAGGGACAGCGACCATGAGAGAGGGAACACAAGCAGAGGGAGTGGGAGAGGGAGAAGCAGGCTTCCCGCTGAGCAGAGAGCCCCATGTGGGGCTCCATCCCAGGACCCTGAGCATCATGACCTGAGCTGAAGGCAGATGCTTAACTGAGCCATACAGGTGTTCCGAGAAGTATTTTCTAGTAATATGTATGCATACTTTCTGTCAGTAGTCTAGATTTCCATTTAGTAGTAAACTCAACCCAGAGTAAGGGGAATTTGATTACTATCATATATAATTTGTTAAATTTTTTGAAGGACATATTTTTTCCAAATGTAAGGTCTCTCTTTAGGAAACAAGGTTGGAAAACTTGCAGTTGAGTGTTATGGAGCTTTAAAAATAGATTCAAGGGGCCTGAGTGGCTCAGTCCATTGAGCATCTGCCTTTGGCTTAGGTCATGATCTCAGGGTCCTGGGATAGAGCCCTGCATTGGGCTTCCTGCTTAGTGGGAGTCTACTTCTCCTTATCCTCCCCACTCATGCTCTCTCTCACTATCTCTGAAGAGATAAAAAAAAAACCTTTTTAAAAAAATAGATTCAAAAATCTGTTTACCTTTCAGTTAAGTTTGCTTTTATCCTACATATCAAGGCTGGTTCTTCCTGCTGCTGTGTGTGTGCGTGTGTGTGTGTGTGTGTGTGTGTGTGTGTGTATTTTTTTTTTTAAAGAATAGGAAGTTGACATAATTTAGTTTCACAATGTAATGATTCATTATTTGTATATATTGGGAAGTGACTACCACAGTAAGTCTAATTAACATCTATAGGAGTGCCTGGGTGGCTCAGAGGGTTAAGCTTCTGTCTTCAGCTCAGGTCATGGTCTCAGGGCTCTGGGATTGAGTGCCCCATTGGGCTTTCTGCTCGGTGGGGAGCCCATTTCCCCCTCTCTTTGCCTGTCTCTTTGCCTACTTGTGATCTCTCTCTCTGTCAGATAAATAAAAAATAGTAAAAATAAAATCTGTCACCGTATGTGGTTCTGCTACTACCTTTTTATTTAATGTGGTAATTGCCTAACAATGGGAAAAGGGTCCAGTTATTTAATGCAATAATACAAATAATGTTTCTGATGACACCGTAATTACATGGGAGACTCTTAATGAAATAAGTAAATAAAAGAGGTACTATTGCAATTATGTTAATAGTAGCTTACATAGAAAAAGTCCTGTACAAATATATATACTGTAAGATTTTACTTTTTGATTCTATTTTTGCATTTTCCCTGATACCTTTTTTTTTTAAAGATTATTTATTTATTTATTTGGTAGACAAAGATCATAAGTAGGCAGAGAGGCAGGCAGAGAGGGGGGTGGGAAGCAGGCTCACCGCTGAGCAGAGAGCCCGATGCGGGGCTCGATCCCAGGACCCTGGGATCATGACCTGAGCTGAAGGCAGAGGCTTTAACCCACTGAGCCACCCAGGTGCCCCTGAAAGGAGGATTTTTAAAAGAAAATATGGAATATTACAATGAGTTAAGGACAATA